ATTTTGTTTTGTAGTGTGAAGAAATGAAAATTGAATGTAATGGTGTATAAAATATTATATAAAAATAAATTCAAATCATAGGAGTGAATAGAGAATCATCAACGGTAATGTGATAAAACCACCAATTAGAACAACCTATGCTAATATTTTTTTTCCTCAAACGCAATTTTGCATTTAAATAGGAGCTTCCAAAGCTGTGAATAATTATTACTAAATAATTAACTTTAGGTATATGGAATAGTTACATTAATCGAAATGCTTTTTAATTTGCTATTTGATTGGATAAAAATATACCAAAAATGTCAACCCCATATCGGTAAACCTAATAGCAAACAAGTTTTAGGCTATTTTTGATTGACGCTCATTTGTTAAATTTTAACGAAAACTATTTTCTTTAGGTATACGACATGGTAGGTGGGTCAAAATTTATTTACAGGCCAATTTCAGTCCCTGGTAAAAAAATTTTTTTTTTAAGCATTACCTGGTTGCACATACCATTCCTGTGTAAAGGCACATATTTTCCAGTGAAAAACAAAGTACGGTAGCTTTTGTATAAAAAAAATAAAAAGTAACGAAGTTTAAAATGACAAAATGTAACGCCGGTCACATGTCCCTGTCGTCTGTTTATTATGTTAAATCTGTTGCATTTTACTGTCCAAAGTGTAAAAAAAATATTTAAATAGTTTACGATATAGAAACAGTCAATTTTTTAATCAATTTTTCTTATATTCCTCTTTACAATATCAAAGTTTCGGTAGTGCCTTAAAGCTGTGTCCCCCAGATTGTGCGTAACGCCGGTAGCACTCCATATACGCTCACATTTTTGCCGCCAGAGGCGCCAATATCAGTCTTCGTTAAATTTTGTGTTACGAAAACTTTGCTGCTAGTGATTTTGCATTAAATAGGTAAGTTTTTATTATATTTACTTAATTTTTCCTCAAATTATGAAAAAATTAGTTCATACGTATGTTTTTGTGTCGTAACAACGGTCACATGGCCTATTTTTAATATTCTTCAAATTTCTTATTAATTGCTAAATATAAAAGTATTTTATTTATTTATTTATTTACATCAATATACCTATGCGTTCATAGTAAATATACATATTTTTTTATTTCGTTATTACGTTTTACAAATAATCTATGATTTGAACGTGTGACCGGCGTTAAAAAAGGCTGTTATGTTGCTTAAAAAAGATGCAGGAATTCAGAAACCTACATATCCAGTGCGGACACATACAAAATTTGGTAGAAGAAACCTAGTACCAACTAAAAAAATTGAGGTTTTTTAAAATACACCGACTTTTATTTTTTAACTTTTATTTTTCGGAATTGGCCCGTAAATAAATTTAATTTTATTCAAAATTTTATGTAGAATTTAAAAATGTAATAATACCCCGGTTCTATTTGAAATAACAATTTTTTCAAAATAGACTTTAATGGATTATAATATATATAAACGCTTTTAAATTTCAAATCGACATATTTTTCTGTTCTCTAGAAACACCCTATATGAATACATATCAAGTATGTTGCACTTTAGGTTTCGATACCACTATAGATTCTAAATTAATGTATACATACCTATAGGTATACTCGTCAAACTAAAAGATCAAGATTTGTTTCCAACATACATACCTATATTTAATATAAGATAAATACAAATCTGTTGTTTTACGAGTACCTAGTAGGTACTACCTACCTATTAAAACAAATAAAAAATTAGTAAACGCTTGAAGATAAATACTTTTTTGTTTGCCGAAAAAAATGACAGATAGCTCGAAGATAAGTAAGAAAATTAAATTATAATTATTTAAAAAAATTTATATAATTTAAAAAGTCAGGATTGTAGGCGCAAAAGCTTGAATTAACAAATTAATGAACTCTCTTAAAATGAATTAGTCAAGAATAACTAATTATAAGTCATATTTGACTAATTGTCATAGCGAAAAAGCTGTCACTAATAATTAGTCAAATTCTACTGAATGAAATAGTCAAATTGGTAGATTTAAATTTAAAAAAGTTCTGACCCAGCCGGGGTTTGAACTTGGGTCTGTCGCTTGTCAAGCTTGTGAAGCGATGTCATAACCAATGCGCTCACTTTTATAGAAATTAATTTTATTTGTCTATGAATATGGTTAATAATATTTTAAAGTTGAATATATTTTTTGTGTACCTGTTTTGAGCTGAACTTTTTTCATCATTGTTTATTTTCATGGGCCATTTAACCATGGAGCCTATAGGCATGCATTTTACTCAAATAATAATTTGTTGTGGGCAGCAAACGATTAAAGAAATTAGTTACTTTTAACTCTCAGAAATAGTCAAAGATGGTGACTTATCTTAAATTCGTCAAACTTTAACTATTTCAGTAGTAAAAAATAACTATTTAAAAGTGAAAACGACTATTTTATTAGTAAATAATGGTGGTACTAATTCAAATGGTAGAAATTTGACTATTTCATTTTAAGAGAAAAGTATATTATTTTATGAGAGATAATGCAGGCTATTATTCACGAGGATGAAGTTTACTTCTCGAGTCGCCACACGAGAGACTTAAATCATCCGAGTAAATAATGAGCATAATCTCGAGTGTAATACTATACTTTATCTACTCCAATAAGTAGATAATTAATTAATTATTAAAGGATTTTCAGAATTAAATAAATAAAATCTGACATATGTCAAATAGTTAACCTCACTTTTTACCAATTTTAAATGTTATTATAGTCGCCTTCTTTTAATTTAAAACCTAATTGGTTGAAATCATAGTGAATAATGAAATTGGCCAATCATTGATGCCCAACAACGTAAATAATAAGTTTATTATTCACGTTGTTAGGCAGGAAATCTATAATATTTACCAATATAAACTATATAAGGGTTTTAAAAATCCTTTACCTATAGGTATATTGATAAAAAAAATTGTACATAGTAGGGGTGGGCAAAATAATCGATTAATCGATTATCAAACCGCCGATTATTTTTTTTATGATAATCGATTATTGATTAATCGATTATTTGATTAATTGATTATTCGATTATTTTATTATTATAATAATTATTATTATTATTTTAAATAAAGAATGTACGTACACTTACCTATATACCTTATGCCCAATATTTAAATGCCATACCTAATTGAAATGAATGAAAACGTAATAATTATTATAATTAATTAATTGTTATAATTAAAACAATCAAATATGTAAATAAAATTAATATGACCAATTGGCCATTTTTTTTACTAAAAACAATATAATAGTTATTTATGTCATTAGGTTAAGAAGTAAGGCTTCTTGTGCTAAGCTCAAGGTTTGAAGGCCAACGCGTAGCGGAGGCCTACAATTGAGCGAAGCACAAAAAGGCACTTCTTGGCCGAATGGCATACAACATTTTATCTTCAAAGCACTTTATATAGGTCAATTTAATTCAACATCAAAGCGACCTAACCTCACTTTTTTAGAATATCATTTATTTATTAGCTAAAGATTACATTAAATGTACAATAATTACCTATTATTGCTTTTAGAAGCAGTAATAGTTTGACAATACCTAGCAACATGATTTAAGTAGAAATGGATTTTTGCTATTACATTAAATTCAATTGATTGTTTAATAAATACCTAGGTAGGTATCTAATTTCAATTTGTTTGGATTTTTATTTAAAAAATAGGTAGTTTGGAATGTTTAAGCTGTGTTTAACATTTAATTTCACTGAAAACTTAAAGCAAATTAAAACTTAAAGATAATTTAAATGGTAGAAAAAGAATCGTGCGTTTTCTTGGTTGAATAACCTCACTTTTTGTTTTATTATTCATATTTAATTTTACAATAATTTAATGAAAAATTTTAAACATTAACAGTAAAACAAACAAATTAGTGCTTATTATAAATAATTAAACCAGTTTAGTACGTTAATTTCTTAGAAAAGGATTAATTTGTCAAAACAATACCCCTAGCGAGAATCGAACTTATTACTTGCCTCATAAAATTTTTTATCGGCCTAGGCCATAACAAGGTATTTCTTTAGCGAATGTTGACAACAATAAAGTTTAAATTATAGACCGCGTGAAGATAAAAATAGTTATTTTGCAGAAAACCCATTTTTATCATTTGTGCTGGGTTTAAAAAAAACCTGCTAAAAATTTTAAACTTGTATTGCATAATATAGGTCATAAGTATTAAAAAACAAGACAATTAATAATTTAATCTTTGAATCAAATAATCGATTAATCAAATAATCGATTAAATAATAATCGATTACTTAAATAATCGATTATTCAAATAATCGATTAATCAAAAAATCGATTAACTAATAATCGATTAATCATCCATTCCACGTTACTCGGGAATTTTTGTAGCGTCCGTTACAATTAAAAATTGTGAGTAAAACTACCGTAGTTATGATGCTTATAAGCTTAAGCCTAATTAATTAGGCTTAAGCTTATAAACATCATAATTACTAATAATAATAATAATAATAATTACTAATAATAATGTAATGTAATAATTATTACAAGCATAATAAACATGTTTGCAATAGTAAGTATTGTAATAGTACTTAATTTAATTACGGTAGCTTTTACTCACAATTTTTGATTGTAACGGACGCTACAAAAATTCCCGAGTAACGTGGAATGGCTGTAATCAAAAAATCGATTAATTGAAATAATCGAATATTTTAGAAAATCAATAATCGATTGTGAATTTCGATAATGGTCCAGCCCTAGTACATAGCGATAAACATAAAAAACAACTGCCAGAAATTGGACGACAACATATATCGATAAATAAGTTGTCAAAAGCTGACCACCTGTTTAGTAGGCAATGGTGACGAGTTAAGTTATGCTTTGGTCGAGGTGATTGTTTGGGCGCCAGCGCCAGCCAACAATCGCTCGGCCCCATACGCGTGGACACGCCAGGCCGTCTCCTAAACAACCAGCCCGCCAACCAACCGACCGATATAACAAAATAGTGTTGTGCCTAGCATAGTCCGTATTCCCATCATCACGTCGCCCGTCCTCGTGAAAACCGTCGCCAGTCGCGATCGAGCGTTCTCCAGGTGCTAAGCAACGAAAGCGGCACCATGGATCCTGCATTCAAACACTCGTGCCATTTTTCGCTTTTTTGACTGACACGGTGACATATCACTTTAATTTCTGACTGACAACGATGGCGTATCCGTTGCCCCTGAGCTGTTCGCCCCGCGTCAACCAGGTGCTGGACAATCAACTGACGGCTTCGACGATGGCCACCAATCTTCTCGCGCCAGTGAAAACCGAACAGGAAATACTGGAAAACTCGATGTTGGAGGACGATCCGAACGCCAACTGTGCGGCCACTTCGCCTCCTCTGGAGAGTTTGGGACCCAGGTGGGGCCCGCAGCATAAGGGTGCTCAAGAACTTGCTAACCTCTACAGCACCGGTATGTTATACTCCTCTTTTTCTGTCACTATAACAATCGCTTAATGGACTGAATGAAATTCCACTATGCTGACATAATTTTTGGCGACAATCTGCGTCCTCGCGGTTATTTTTAAATCCAGACGCACTCTCAATGAATTCGACCACTTAGCAGATCTTACAACAATAATTATGGAATTGCTTGAATTTCGTTTGTTGACCTCATCATGGTCCACCTTGCACTTGGAAAAACTATAAATATATAAAAAAGGAGCAAATTTATTTAAATTTTGGAAACTATTGCAAAATTAAGACAAATATACAAACCTACTACATAATTAAATACGATATTGCTGCATTTTTATATTTAAATGATTAGGTTTCCTTTACAAATTTTTGTTAACTTGCGACTTTTCTTCTTTTCTTTTAAGGTCAAATTGCGTAGTTTTGCCAAACTGATAACTTATTCATTGTAACCACCAATCGATACAAGTAATTGGTACCTTTTTCAACACAACTTTAAGCCATTTTTCAATGGATAATGAAAATACGAATAAGAAGGTCTTAAAACTTAAAATGACCCTTTTAAAAACATCCACTTTTTTACAAACTAAGACCAAAACACAGTAGCTAATTGTTTTTATAGGTACCTTGATAATAATTTTGTTAAAAAAAGTCAGTATTTATTAAAAGGTGCATTGCGTTCTTAAAATAAATATAAGCAACAAACATTTGTTCCTTAAATTAAATATAAACGTATTAAAGATACAGGGTGATCCACTATAATGTCGCCCTTTAACTTTTTTATTTTAAGTGTCCCAAAAAATTTAAAAGTGTGGTTATGTAGGAACTAAAAAATACTTTTTTTCTACGTATAAAGAAAATTGGAAAATTGATCAGTATACAGGGAAAAACAAAAAGTTTATTTTTTTTTCAATGGATCACCCTATATTTGAATTTATTTTTCGATTCCTTGTAAAATTCTAAGCATAATTTATATACAAACCATATACTTAAACTCAACCGTTTCTAAAATATTCGCATTCGAAATGTCATCATTAAATGTTTTTTAAACTGTTAAAAATCAAGAAGCCTCAGTATACCAAAATTTTTATTGAAAATAAATTACTATAGTGACATTATGTCAATAAGTGTTGTTAAATAAGTAAAAATGGCGTACTCAGACAGAGAAAGACAAACTATTTCAACTTATTATCTTAAAAATAATTTAAATATTTTAGAAACGGTTGAATTTAGGTATATGGTATGATATATGAAATATGCTTAGAATTTTCACAAGGAATCGAAAAATAAATTCATATATAGGGTAATCCATTGAAAAAAAATTAACTTTTTGTTTTTCCCTGTATACTGATCAATTTTCCAATTTTCTTTATACGTAGAAAAAAAGTATTTTTTAGTTCCCACATAACCACACTTTTAATTTTTTTGGGACACTTAAAATAAAAAAGTTAAAGGGGGGCATTATAGGGGATCACCCTGTACCTACTTACAATGGCGGCTGGTGGATTTTGGGTATACCAACAATATCTCAATTATTAGATATGGGACCCACACCAAATTTATATGAGTTTATAATGACAATAAATAAACAAGTTCTGCGCAAGCAGAATTTAAATTGATGTTTGCGAAAAAAATATAACTTTTTGCTCGGCCGTACCGGCTCAATGGGGCCCCCAATAAATATAATATAAATTTAATTGGTGCAATATCGACAAATTTTAAATTTTATTTAAAAAATCCAAATCATACAGATTTTATATCATTTTTTATCAAGTTTTATTATTTCTTTGAAAATAAATATGCGCTTCAAACACCCATGCCACGTCATTAGACGGTGTTGATCACGTGATGTTCTTACATCTCGCCTCAGTTGGCTTACGATAGGAGTATATAAGCTCAGGTAGCCGTTTGTTTTGGGTGTGTTCCGCAGTGGAACTTCCACTATACCAAATTGCCCGACACTGATAAGACCCCCAACATAGGTCTTCAAATACCTTCAAGTGCGTTCCACCTACTTTAAATTGAAGTAGTTGGAACGCACTCAAAACAAAAACTCTGGCGAGGGAAGGTTCAATTTTTTCTCTTTAAGAGAGAATGTTACTTTTACATTTTCAAAATGTTAACCCAACCCAATTAACCCAACATTAGCGCAAATAATTTTAATTTATCATTTTATTGGTGTTAAGAGAATATGCTAAAAAGGTTACCTGGACATTTAAAGAAATTTACCTTAACATCTTAAAAATGTTAGCACAACCATTTTCGAAATATTACTCCGACATATCAAGAATGTTTAATTAACCAGATTAGCAGATTAGAACAAATATTCCCATTTTGTTAATTTGACTAATATTTCGTCACCCTAATATAACAAGGTTGTATGTTAAAAAATACGAAAAATTTAAGTCTATGTTTCTACAGGATTATACGTGGCCTACGCTTCACATACCACTTAAAAATAATTCTATAGAATGTATATTCTATGTATACATATACTCTATATATATAAATTTAAGTCTATGCTTCTACAGGATTATACGTGGCCTACGCTTCACATACCACTTAAAAATAATTCTATAGAATGTATATTCTATGTATACATATACTCTATATATAGAGTTATTTTCAAGTTGTATGTCAAGGGTGGATTACATAAAACCTTGTAGAAGCATAAACTCAATTTTTTTGGTTTTTTAACATACAACCTTGTTATATTAGAGTGACGATTTGTTGTTCAATTAAACAATACAATTTGACATTTTTAGATGGTTAAGTAAACGTGCAAAAACCATTGCTTGTATTTTAAGTACATAAAGAGTTGAATTAATATTTTTTTTGTTGTTTCAACAGCTTATTTTTTTCAGTGTACGCAAACGTTAACTCAACTACATTATTTTTTTCGGTGTGCAGAATCCAATTTTTTTTTGTTTTAAATCACAAGCGTAAATAAATTCATAAAATTTTGGTTTTTAATAAATTTCCATAGAAAAAAAAACTATTTTCTTACTACCTCGGCCGAAAATACGTTGTTTCGTCCCCGATTCCACGGCAGAAAGTTTACGTTTGATGCATTGGTCAAATTTACGTTTGATGCATTGGAATCGGGGACGAAACAACGTATTTTCGAGTATATTACACTACAAGGGCTACGAAGGCTTCGCTCGTGCTGCAAATGTCGGGGCAGGCATCAATATGTTTCGATATACACATTTTATTTTTTCCCGTATTTTCGGCCGGGTTGGGTTGGGATGTATTTTCGGCCGAGGTAGTAAGAAAAATAGTATACACTACACGGGCAGAAAGTGTGAGAGCCCTGAACTGCGCGCCATGATGCCCGAGGCGAAGCCCGCAGTGCAGGAATCTCACACTTTCTGCCCTTGTAGTGTAATATACTATTTCTGTATCTTAAAACTTCAAAATAAATTTAAATTATTTATACAGGGTGTCCCGCCATACCACGCGATAGTGGGGATATTTTGACGTTAAAAAATATCACGATTTTTTTTACAACAGGTAATTTTCTAGTTATACTAGTTAGGAATTCAAGTTTAACTAACTTTGCAACGCTGTTATAGTATTAAATATTATTATCTTTATTATTAATATTTTTTTGTCCTTACCCTTCTAAGTTTTAAAATTTTTATTAAAATTAAACTAAAACACGCAACTAAATTGTCATTGCTAAATTATGTGGCTTAAAGTAAATAATACAGATAAGAAGATAGGTAGGTTTGTTTATTTTTTAATTCCATAAAAATAAATTTAGATAACAAAATAACCTTTCCTTAAAAAAAGAAAATACCAAGTTTATAATGATATTTGATTTACGATCTTAAAATAATCATAAAAACATTTTATTTTCAAAGTTGCATGTAGCTTTATCATAAATATCAGTTTCAATGCAGACAAATTAAATTACTTGCAATTGCAATAATTTTATTTAGTTTTGTAGGATATTGCCTATAATAATTTAAACTATATTATATATTCTATATTTTTGTATTAAAGTACAATTTTTTGATACCAATATTTTTGTGGTCACTCTCACCTAGTTTTGTGACCTATAGGTACGTAGTTTTCAAGGTAAACCCCACGTCGCCATTACCAGCTGGAATACCAGTCGGCATTACATATTACTTCAAAGTAATTGCACCTCGTTTATAGGATTATTTGGTGATGACTACGTTGTTGCGACTCCTTATTTGGAACCCCACTGTTTCATTTACTTTAAAGTTGTGTATGCACATATTTATAAATATTTTGATAAAAATATAAATTCAACCATATAGGAACTGTACAACATTTTACAGAAAATTGAAAGTTTTGAAAGACTCAAATCGGCTTAGTAACATTTATGCGACAGTAAACACTGACTTTTTTAAAACAAAAGGTATAACAACTAACAACTAAAAAGTTAGGTTACGTCGACAACTGCATTTTAAACAACAAAATATACATACAAATACAAATCGCCGACGGTGGTCTAGTGGTTAGTGCTGCTGACTACAAGCCGGAGGTCGTGGGTTCGAATCCCACCAGGGGTATGGCTGTTTATTTGTGTTTGTCCTATTGTGTATTAGTCCTGCGGTCCGTTCCTACCCCTAACCCGCACAAGCCATTCAGTTGGCTTATGGGACTTCTTAAGAAGTAAGGGTGGAACTAAAAGAGCACTTTTGTATATTATATATAATACATAATATAATGGTATTCTAACGTTGAGTGGAGACTTTCTTAATCAATGCTTTTAATAATGCTAAATGTTGTTTAAATTTAGATGACATATTAATTACAAAAATGTGTATTTATTGTATCTAATAGGTACAATTTATATTTACAGGGAGTGTATGCAATTTATTTCTTCATTCAGATTAACACTGTTTATTGGGAAACCGGTAAAAACTCAACCCAGGATTTTTTCTCGAAAAACACCCAACAACACAACAAATTTTTTCGATACTTTTTAACATTTTCCGGCCTTACACGCGTTTGACAGGTTAT